ATTATTTTGTGAACCCTGAAGGCATCTGTGTCCGCAAACAGATGCACGATTGGCTGGAAGTTCCAGCCAGTCGCATTTTTCTAAACGTGACCTACGAGTGACGTGTTTGCGTTTGCCTCAGAACAACGGCCGTGATTGGCTGAATAGTCCGCTGCGCCCGCCCCATGAGTGAGGAAAAGAAAAGAAGAAGAAGCAGAGCCGGTCTGGAAGCGGACCCATCACCACTATAGTGCATCAATAGATTAGTTATTCTGGTTATGACGGGTGTACGGCAATTTCCCTCAAAATACGATAATTTTATGTCTCTAGTACGATAATCCTACAATTCTCACCTGGCAACACTGGACCAGCCTCCTCTTCAAGAGGTCAGAGCCCAGGTGTGCATAGGTGGTGAACCTTCTAGTTGGTGTCACTCAAACTTTTAAACAACTCCTTTCCTATAAGCAAGTGACACTCTACATTCATGAAGCCAGATTAGAATGCCAGAAATCAACATGGCTAAGTACTCGTCCTCACCTTACAATATATCAACTCAACTTCTCTCCTCGTATGTGGTGGGTTCACATAGAGGTGGCATCCTGTTGCATTTTTTGTGCTGGGTCTAGCAGAGCCCCAGGAACCAAGGCTTGACAACCAGGCATCTTTTTTTTTATTCATGCCTGGCTCCTGGAAGGTGTCCCAGTTTGTCTACCTGCTTTTGTGGTCAAGTCTTCATTAAGCTTGGACCTTTCACCTGAGGCCAGTTTGATCCTATCACAAGCTGACGCATCAGATAACACAGCCCTTGAGATTATGAGGGTTCTCAAACCACTCCACAATCTGAAGAGGGTTAGGAAGTAACAGTGTAAAACTAGCTGAAAGAAGATATTCTCTGGTATCAGGATGGGGGTGAGTGTAATCTTTGTCTTTGTGCAGGATATTTGCATGACATTAAACACAAAGAGGAAACGCCTACATTTTACAGGACAAAAAAAAAAAAAGATAGCTGCAGGAAGTTCTTATAAGTGGGAGGGTCTTAATGAGCAAAACGAACAATAAATCATCATTGAACTGGTGGAAAGTACCTGATCCAGCAGGCTGCGGCACCATCCTGTGAGAGACTGAGGGGTGACCGCGTGACCGCAGGACATCTCTGCTCGGAGACACTGGTCTCCTTCCTCGGTGGCTGAGGAGCAGAGAACAGGCATCAAACATATTTACATTTAAGTACAACGAAGAACAAACTCCATCTGATAGATTTTAGAAAAGACTGAAGCTCATCCACAATTATTTCAAACGGGTTAACAATTAAACTCAACCAGGCAGAGATGTTAGGCCCAAATTTAAGTAATAAACACAATTCAAGGACACTATAACAATAACCAGTTTTAGTCCTTACGAAATGGATCCAGATCATCAGGTCTGTTGACAAATCTCAGTGTTGTGTCTTTGGGATTGTATTTTTTCTCGACCTGGTCCCGTGTGCTCATTGTGGCTCTGATCAGCTCTTCTGCTCGTTGTTAAAATAAAAAAGCTCTTTTGCTTGTGAAAAACATGTCGCTCGAAACAGCAAAATTGCTTTTACTTTCGTTTTCTTCCTCGAATAAATTTGAGTTTACCAGAAGTCACACGAAACCGGAATACCAGATTGTCTTCATTCCTTTTCATATTGTGTTAGCTGTTGAAAACTAATACTGCAATCAGCTTTTAATTTTGATCATTTTAATGTGATATGACTTCTTCTTGTATTGCTTTACATGTAAAATAACTCCCCAAAGTTCACATATGCAAAATAAAAGCAATAACGTAAAGAAAAAAAAAGTATGTGCACAAACTGAAACCTATTGCTTTAACACATGTTTTGTGGTGACCCTCAAGGAAGTAACTGTAGCTGATAAACACGCTTACTGTAGGTCACATGATCAAAACTGGGAAAACAAGATAACGTTCATATTAAGGAGCAAGTTGGGTTGGTTCTGTGTTTGATAAGTCCAAAGTGCTGGGGAAGATTTTCAGTCATTCGAGTAAGAAACAAAACAACCGGACTTTTATTCTGAAGCTGAAGACGTTTTGCTTGGATGAGAAGCGAAATGTCTTCAGCTTCTGAACAGAAGTCCAGTTTTTTTTTATTATTTTGGTTGTTTTTTTTATAAGTCCTAAGAAAAAAATGCAAGTGCAGAGGCACAATAATTAAAAACACTGTGCAGAAGTTCTACTACTTTGCTGTTGCTCCTCTAAAACTTTGAATATACAACCAGATGAGACAATAAATGTAGTAAAGGTAATGGTGTCCCGATACTGATACCAGTGTCGTTATTGTGCTCAATACCCTCAAGTACTTATACTGATAAAACACCGCAATACGTCAAACTGATAGCTCTTATATGCTTGGCGATGTCATTTCTTATTCCATTTTGATAGCAACCGATTAAAACAGTCCAAAGTCTAGAGATATTTTAATAAACACAGGTGAGGTTAAGACAGCAGACCTATTGCTGTAATCTTTATACAATAAATGTGTCTCCAATGTCATTGTGTAACACTTGTAAATACTAAAAAAAAAAGTCCATGCTCAATAATCCAGGTATCCAGACGAGGAAGAGGGCTGGCAACAGAGGAAGGGGCGTACCAAAGACACCATCTTAGCACCAACATAACTGGTTTGTTCCACTTTGGAATAAGCTGCTTGGAGGAAGAATCAGTTTTGTGTTGTGTGTTTCCTTGACTGATGAAGCATTCTGGATGGAAGGTGAAATGTTTCAGCAAAAAAAAAAGAAACTGTCCAGATGACCTGACTGAAAATTGTTGGACTTGTAAATACTGTTTTTAGACTCTGACTTTAAGTTTAATAAACAGACTAACTCTGGTCTACAAAAAAGCTTCTTCCAGTTAAGGCAGATAGCTAAGCTTAAGTCCGTGTTGACCAGATCTGACCTTGAAAAACTTGTCATTTGTTCGTTACAACCCGGCTGGACTGCTGTAACGCTTTATGTTGGGGTCAGTCAGGTGTCCCTTTCACGTCTACAGATAGTCCAAAATGCTGCAGCTCAGCTCTTAACTGGAACTTGTAGGTTTGAGCACATTTCACCGGTTTTGTCCTCCCTTCACTGGCTCCCTGTCAGAATGGATTTAAAAATTCTCCTGTTGACATTTAAGTGCCTAAATGGCTTTGCGTCCTCATACCTCTCTGACCTATTTCAACCTTATGTTCTTTCTCGGGCGCTGAGATAATCTGACCTGCTGCTTTTGGTGGTACCAAAAACCCAGTTTGAGGCTCAGAGGAGATTGGGCTTCTTCAGTCGTGGGCTCTAAACTCTGGAACAATCTCAGAGTCAGAGTCAGAGTTTCTTTATTGTCATTTGCACCTCATGTGGTACATGTGGTGGAGTGAAATTATGTACACAGGGTCCCAGTTACATCCAACAATAAAATGTCTAAGAAAAATAGTAACAACATCTAAGATATGAACCAAGAAAAACATCAACTAAATATACACTAAGCACTCATAACATAAAAACATTGAACATCAGCACAAACATGAACATGAGTCTGTGTGAGCAGATGTGCACGCATGAACACATCAACATTGAAACAGATCAGCAGCAACACGAAACAGATCAGCAGCAACACGATATGGTTTTTCACAGTGATTATTCTAGTTAGAGGTTCATGAGTCTAACAGCCTCAGGTTAGAAGCAATCTGCCCCTCAACATTAGACAGACCCCTTCGCTCTCTGCTTTTAAATCTCTCCTAAAAACACACCTGTATTCACTGGCATTTAGCACAGTGTGATCCATCCGTTTTCTTCTGCTTATCCAGGGTCGGGTTGTGGGGGTGGCAGCCCAGACTTCCCTCTCCACAGCCACTTGGGCCAGCTCCTCTGGGGGAATCCCAAGGCGTTCCCAGGCCAGAATTGTTGCTGGTTGGCAGGTGTTCAAATACTTATTTGCAGCAGTAACACGCAAATAAATTATTTAAAGAATCATACATTGTGATTTCCTGATTTTTAATTTTTTTTTAGATTATGTCTCTCACAGTGGACGTGCACCTAAGATGAAGATTTCAGGCCCTTCTATGATTTCTAAGTGGGAGAACTTGCAAAGTCGCAGGGTGTTCAAATACTTAATTTCCTCACTGTATATAGCAACAAGTCACAACAGAAGTCATCTCCGGGCACTGAACAGAAACATTAATATACATTAAAAGCAAGTTAACACTATTTATCTGAGGAGCAGACTGCTTCGAGTTTAACTCCATCACAGAACGCTCATCTTGAACAAACATGAAGGCGACAGTGGAAAGGAAAAACTCCATCATGAGGAAGAAACCTTTAGCAGAACCAGGCTCAGGACAAGCGACCATCTGCATCCACCGGCTGGGTTTGAGAGGAACAGATACACAATGGCAGGTCAAGAATCACATGTTAAGACAGAAATAGTATCAAATGAAACAATTCAATTTTAGCAAATCATTTAAGGAAATGAGGTCAGTTTGTCCTCCATTAATGTAAACCTATAGCAGCTCAACAAGCCAACCCTAACTATAGGATTTATAAAAAAGGAAAGTCTTAAGCCCAGTCTTGTACGATTTGATTTAGTATTTCATTGTTTCTCCTTTTCTTTGTGTTTTAATGCTTTTAATTACTTCTTGTTATTATTTATTGTGAAGCACTTTGGCAACAGCTGCTGTTTTAAATGTGTTTTATAAATGAATTTGACTTTAATACTTACGTGCTCATTAACTACTCTGTCAGTTGTAAACAAACTGGAGTACTTGTACTCGGTCTGAAAATACTGGCGTCTACAAATATTCAGCTTTACAAATACTGAGCTAAATATTTACAAAAGTTTTCAAGATATGACCAAAATGGTTATAACTTTGATTTTTGTCACAAACGGTGATGGACATTCCTTGAAGCTATGCTGACATTTAAAAAATGTAACACTAATAATAATACAATGCATTGAAATCGAAAGTATGCAGCCCTTTTGACGTCACTTCCTGTTTACCTGTCAGTCATTAGGACGTCGGTGTTGAACGCAGCAGCAGCGAGAGCGCTTGAAGCAGCAAGAAAATGGGAAAAATCTACCAGGTCATGGTTCATGGTGTGAGAGGGGAGAAGATGTTCATCGACCTCTGCAACACCGAGGAGCAGATGCAGAAAATGACCGTACAGCAGCTGAGGCAGAAAATAGCTGAGAAACTCCCGGACACAGCAGGTGAGTGAAAGAAGCAGGTTTAATTAATTAATTAATTAATTAATTAATAATGGTGTAGTGAAGTGTTAGTGATATGTCATAAACACTTCAATATGACTTTTACTGTATTTTGGTTTCTCAGCTCATTATGATTTATTCATAGGTGACAGATGTGCTGAGTTCCATGAAAGATTTTAAATTTTTTTTAAAAATTGAGATTAAGAAGTAATGTTTCAAGTTTTAACACATTATTAACAGTTATTGTCCAACACTGAAAATAAAACATGGTCAAAAGTGTAAAATAAGTGCAAAAAATCAAAAGTGAAAGTAGTTCACCTTCCATCTTATTGAGATATTTTTATTACAACATTTTTATTAAATAAGTTTATATTGCGTCATGCTTTGTGTTAGCCTAAACTTTTTGCTTGTTTAAGAATGAACCCATGATCTATACATTTTGTGGCCGCCATCACAGCTTTCAGTTCATTTAAAAATATATATATTTTGTTTTTACTTGTGTGTCCAGGACAGGAGAACCTGCGTCTGATCTTTACAGACAAGATGCTGGAAGGAGACGAGACGCTGCTGTCTGAATATGGGATCCAAAACAAGTCTGTCATCCAGGTCTTGATCAGGGTCCCTGGAGGACTGACAGCTTGATCCAGACCCTCTGCACCTACTGCACCTCCTCCTCATGCTGCTGCCTCTTAATGAGATGGGATGATAATGATGGGAACTTCTTTGTATAGAAATCATAGTTTCACTGTTTTACTTATATTGTAATAGCTCTCTGATGTTCATTCATGTGTCTAATTAAGCCTTGTTACACAAAATAAAACTATTTTCTTTATCATATCTCTTGTGTTTCTTAATATTAGACTGAATCAAGGCATCATTAAGTAGGCCTAAATAAAAGTATTCAGCTATATATATATATATATATATATATATATATATATATATATATATAT